GTTGGCTTGCCTTCCTCGTTTTGACGTAGTCGCTCATCCATTTGAGACACCGCCATCCCCAATCGAAGTGCCTGGTCACTACAAACAAACTCATGTTGCCACTCTCCTCCAACCCCCATCGTTCGTCGGGAAGAGGCGATCAAAACTTCGTCGAAAACCTTTCCGTCGGCTTGGATTAATCACTTTTTTCGGCCGATTAGGTGATCCGTTCATCATACCACCACTGTCATCTATTTCCCTGCTTCGTTCCGATCGAAACCCAACCGAAATCATCATTTTATCATCGATTTTTTCCCTCCACCGTTGGGTAAGCTCGGTTCATTTTTATTTAATTTTTTATCAATGTTTTGGTTGGATTATTGGGTTAATATTGGTTATTTTGGTTTGATAATTGTGTTTAGCTTCTCAGGGAGCAATTGGCTATTTGAAACAGATTTTGTCACCACCGAACGCGTCGCCACGTGGGCTTCCTTCCCAACCATGACTTCTGGAATATTGAGTCAAATCGATTAAGTTGACCGATTCAGTTAATTTAAGTCGTGAGTCAGCCCGTTGAGTCAAGTCAGACATAGTCAACTTGACCCGATCGACCTGACTCGTTGACTTTAACTAAAGTTGACCATTGATCTGTCTGACCGTTGACTTTGACCGGTCTAACCGTCGACCATCGAATTTGACAAAAGATTCAAAAAAATTAAAAGTCATATTTTATGTTTTTCAACGTCTTGAGCCCGAATCCGAAGTCCGTTTTGCCAAATTCGCTCTCAATAAGTCGTTTTTCAGTTATTTATCTTCAAAATCAAATTTGGTTTTCTAATTAAATTCAGTTTATGACATAAATTAGTTTTCTATGTAACCAATAAATTATTGGATATTGAATTCTATTTCAAGAGTGATCGAATGGAGTTTAAATGTTCGGTCGGTGGAGCATGAAAACCGAGGTAATATTTTACTACCTTTTGTATGTTTTCTGGAACTTGTTGATAATTGGTAACGGTATCGATGAAATAACTGGTCCTTTAGGTAAAATTAAAAAATTTAGAACTCGAACAGAATTTTGGTAAAAAGACAGTAATTGTATAAGACTCGGATGGCTCGTATAAGAAACTAGAAGATCAGTCAAAAATAATCATAAGTTTAGTGATTTATTAATAAATGAATTTGCTTCAAGATCCATAAATTTTGATTAATTTCTTTAAATGTTAAATAATGGGAATATTTGGATAATAAATTACCAAAAATAGCTCTATAAGGTAAAATTATGAAAATGCCCTTGTACTGTAAAAGACCAAGACTTCCTCTGATGGTCAAAAATAACCCAGAAATGACATACTTGACTAATTATCAGAAAAAGTACATATGTTTGGATTGAAAATGAATTACCGAAATGTCCTCGAGCTACAGAATAACTAAAATAACCTCTAATGATTAAATAACCAAAATACCTTGAACTCTAAAGAAACTAGAATACTTTGAAGCCCAATTTATCGGAAGTAATGCCACTGACATAATTAAATTCAATGACGATAATATGCTTAAAATATAAAAAGAACTATGGATGGCTATGATAATGGAGATGACCTGAGAACTCAAATTTTGATTTGCTTGAACCTTGGAATCAGCGATTAAATTCCTGATCTATTTGAAAACCCCTAAAAATAAACTTCTATATTTGGAAATTCTTAATATGGCGATCACTTTGTTTTTGAACGATCATTTGAAGATTAGATTATTAGATGTGCGACATGTAATTGAAGTATTGAAATGATGGATTATTCTCAAGTTTTGAAATAACTAATGTGCATGGACCCCAAAAAGACTAAAATAACCCTGAATATCGAGATGACCTAAATACCTTTATGACTTGGATCAAGTGAATGTATTTGTATAGACTATGGGATCACCGATGAACCTAATGATGTACTGCCTATAAAGGTTATGGAGCATGACCCAAGTCGTAGGATATTTTTGGATATTATTACAAAGTGAAAATGAAATAAATACCAATGAAATGCCTATTCGTCTCCTTAAGAACTGATCAAGGATGATTTTGATATTGATCAGATCAACTGGAGCAGTCAATAATAAGAAGTGAATAATAGTGAAGTATCACGGTCCGAATGATTGACAAATATCGCAGTGTTGGGATCGTTGGTTCAATTGGACTCGAAATCCTGATAATTCAATATATATTCTTAAATACCACAGATCATCGCTCTACTCTACAAATCATCGCTCTACTTTTATTAGATTAAATTACTAAGAATTCTCCGAGAATCAAATGCCTAAAATGCCCCTGATTTGCCTGAATAATAGGAACACTCATGTTATATCTAAATCTTCAATAATTCTGAGGTAAAATAATCTAAATGTCTGACAGATACTCAACTGCCTCCGGAAAAAAAATATGAATACTATATGATCTTGATTCTGAAATCCTATTAAATTACAAAAGTTTCATAGTCCCCTACATGATAAATACCAAGTATCTCTGAATAATATATGGATCCTCTAGTGTGTTCCTTATGTGACATGTAAATGTTTTACTTGTTTTAAAACGTGATTTTTGAAATTACTGATTTACTAATTTAGCGGTTTATGAGCTATGGTTACCTAAAATATGTTCTCTGGTTACCTATTTTCACAGTAAAATATGACCATTCCTGATTTATGGATCATGAAATCTATTGGTTACTACTTAAACTATTTTATTGGGATATTATTTGGGTAGGATACTGGAGTTTGGAGGTTCATCTCGGTCAAACTGGTAATTCCTTATACAGATTCAGACCGATAGAGCTGGTAATTCCTGACGGACCTAAGGTGACCCTTGGGTAGGCTCTCAGGCCCCAAGGCACTCCCTTTAGTAAATCATAGGATTACATATGGTGTATGGGTGGAGGGCATTTATGTGATTTAAATAACTACATGATCATTTTTACTATAAAGTATTGGATCATTATTTTGATATTAAAGTTACTGCTCATTGTGATTTCTAATGGGTAATGTATGGGTAGGTTGGAGTATACAGGTTCAGCTTGGTTAAACTGGTAATTCCTTAAATAGGTTCAAACCGATTGAGCTTGTAATTCTTTATAAACCTACGGTGACCCTTGGGTAGGCTCCGAGGCCCTGAAAAACTTTATTAGGTAGGCTCTCAGACTCCAAGGCACTCCCTTAGGGTGAATCCTTTATTATGTGCTTAGGGTAAGTCCTTATGGATGCAGTTCTAGGGAAACTGCATAAAGGTTTTCGGTTGGAGGGTTTACTTTGGTTTTAAAAATATGTTTTAAATTGTTACTGTTTTAAAAAGATTTGTACTCTTTTCAATGGTTTTTGGTTAGAACACACTAGACATCCTATTCCGTTCTCCTGAAAACTTGGTCCTTTGAATATTTCCTATGAACTAAAATCTTCATGTCTTTTACTCTAAGAAATATCAGTGAAACCTCATCTCATTCTGAAAACCTGTAGAAGGCTAAATTAATGAGGAAAATTTATGTTTTCCCCATTTATATGCATGTCCTTTAGCATCACTCGGTAGTTCTGTATTATTGAGCTTCCCAAAGCTCACTCTGTTACTCACCATTTTAGGTTAAAAGAATTGATCTTGTGCAGCTATCATCATCAGTATTAAAGTTCCACAGGTTTTCTTGCGGAGTACGGTGCATTTGTTTAAGGAACATGTAGGTGGTATTCTGACTTTATATCTACGTCTGAAACGTGTATGATTTCAATTCTATTTGTAGTGTATGAATGGTTTTCTAAACTTGTATTTTAAATTATAATTTGTTTTATGATTTTATACGTTTTAACATAAATTTTAATTTTTTGGGATTTTTATTGTGGGTAGCTCAGGTGGCCCTAATTTGACACCCCAGATCGGATAGGGTCACCCGCATCGGTCTGTGGGTGTTACAATTTATCTTCTCATCTTACTTCCTTGTATATAAAATAAGTTTATAAAATTGTAATCCTATGAAGATTCAATGGAGCAGAATAATGAATTGACCTAAAGGTGAGAAGATGTTTGAGAAGCAGTCTTAGTTTTAGGATTATTGGTTCTCCCACTGGCTTGGGATAGGCCACCTAGGTTATAATATTTTTTGGGCTATAAGCATTGCATCTTATTTACTGCTTATATCTATCATGTATGTGATGCGATGAATGATATGTTAGCATGATAATGCTATAATGAATATTGATAAGATCAATAAGGGCATAATATTAAAATGAACATCGATGAGATAATTATAAATCCCTCTAAATAATCTAAGTTATTTTTAACTTAAGACTTCGATCAATATTATGTGGGTTTTTCTAAAGCAATGCCACATAATTTTATCTTAGTTAAACACGAAGAATACACAAGTGATATTCACCGGTTCAAATATTGGTAATAATTTATCTAGGTTATTCTAATAGGATTAGAAACCTAGAGGTTAATTATTTCGATGAATCATGAGATGATTTGAACAAGAGTTGTTCACCAAATGGAGGAGTTGCATGGGATATAATTAGCAAGGTGTTATTTACCAAAATAACCATTCTTCTAAAAGAAAAGACAAATTTTATTTAGGAAGTGGGTGAAATATGGATCATCACTTACTAGAAAAACTTTCAAGTTGATTTTTCGAAATTAAAACAAGAGGGTTTTTAATTTTGAATTAAATAGTGGGAGCAGTTTGTAAAGAAAGATCTATTTGTAAATTTTAAATTCGGAAAATTTACTTACTTTAAATATTTCCATTGTTGTAAACTTAATGGCAAACAATACACTATCATTGCGATCACTCCTTGAGAATGAGAAATTTAATGGCATAAACTTCCTTGACTGGTTCTGTAATTTGAGAATTGTTCTCAAATAGGAAAGGAATGAATATGTCATTGAAGAACTTGTTCCTGATGAACCAACAAATAATGCTTCTAGAGCTGACAAATACAAGTTTAAGAAACATATGGATGATTCATTAGACGTTGGATGTCTAATGCTTACAACCATGGCTCGTGAGCTTCAGAAGAAACTTGAGGAAATGGTTGCATATGAGATGATTCAAACTCTCAAGGAAATATATGAGAGGAAAGAACATCAAGAGAGGTATGACACTTCTAAAGCTCTATTTCAATGCAAAATGGTAGGAGCTTATGTCATCAAGATAATGGGCAACATCCAAATGTTGGAAAAGCTGGGATTTCCTCTCATAGATTAATTATCTACCAATGTTTTCCTAAAATTGTTATTGAATAGCTTTAACCAAATTGTCCTTAATTTAAACATGAATGAAATAAACAAGACTTTTCCATAGTTACTTGGCATGTTACGAATTGCTGAAAGTAACAAGAAAAATATTAGACCTAAGCTCATTTCGATGGTCTGAAAGGACAAAGGAAATGGAAAGAAAAAGATAGTGGAAAAGTCTAAGGGTAATAGTAAGACCAATCCCAAAGGAAAAGATGCATTGAAACCCAAAAGAGGGTTTAGCAAGGAAGGAAAATGTTTCTATTACGACAAGACCGGACACTAGAAGAGAAACTATCATGTTTACCTTGAAGAGGTCAAGAAGGCAAAAGCCAACGCAACGTTTGTTTAGGTATTTATGTTATTTATGTTAATTTGTCAACATCTACTTCTTGGGTATTAAATACCGATTGTGGTTCTCATATTTGTACTTTTGTATAGGGACTGCAAAAGAGAATGACTATGGCTAAAGGAGACGTAAACCTACCAGTGGGAAATGGAGCAAGAGTTGTTGCATTAGCTATAAGGACATATGTTTTATCTTTGCCTAGTGGACTTGATTTAAATTTAGAGTATTTTTATTTTGTGCTTAGTTTGACAAAATATTATTTCTATTTCTTATTTGGACAAGATTGGTTTTGACCTAATTATAAAGAATAATTGTTGTTGGTTTTATCTTGATAGTGTTTTCTATGGTTCAACACAATTAGTTAATGGTCTTTATATTTTGGACCAATATGACACTATTTATAACATAAATACGAAAAGATCAAAGACAAATGACTCAAATCAAACTTATCTTTAGCACTATCATTGCATCCATATAAGTGAGAAACTCATATCAAAGCTCCATAAAGATGGATTCTTAGATTTATTTATTTTCGAACAATATGATGTAAGTGAATCATGCTTGTTGGAAAAAATGACCAAGGCTCCCTTTAATAGTAGAGGTGAACGAGCAAGCGATTTATTGGGATTAACACATAGTGATGTGTGTGGGCCAATGAATACGCAAGCCAGAGGTGGATTCCAGTAATTTATTATTTTCACTGATGACTCCAGTCGGTATGAGCATATTTACCTTATACGTCATAAATCTGAAGCACTTAAAAAGTTTAAGGAATTAAAAAATGAAGTACATAATCAACTAGGCAAGAGTATTAAGTCATTTCAATCAAATCGAGGTGGAGAGTACTTGAGCATAAGATCTGATGAACTCCTGAAAGATTGTGGGATTGTCTCACAGCTTACACCACCTGATATGCTGTAGTGGAATGGAATTTCTAAAAGGAGGAATCGAACACTGTTAGAAATGGTTCGATCAATGATGATTCATAGTGATCTTTTGACTTATTTCTAGGGACATGCACTTGAAACATCCATTTTCACACTAATTCATGTTCCATCTAAATTGGTTCAAAAGACACCATGTGAGATATGGACTGGGAAGCATCCTAGTATGTCTTTTATGAAGATTTTGGGTTGTTAAGCTTATTTCAAACATCAAATGTCTACAAATATTGAACCTAAATCTCATAAGTGTATATTTGTTGAATATCCTAAAGAATCTAAGGGATATTATTTCTTCAACCCTAACGAGAACAAAGTGTTTGTTGCTCGAACATGAGTCTTTCTCGAGAGAGAATTTCTCTCAAAGAAAGGGAATGGAAGAAATATTGAACTTGGACAAGTTCAAGAACAAAATATCAGTGAATCAGAGGTTGAACAAGTTTCACAAATAGTTGAGGAACAATCAACAGATTTAGAAACACAACCATTGGAATATCCAAAAGAGAATGGCATGCACCTGAGAGATATGGATTTATCGTTACCACACATGGAGACATTCTTCCTATGGAACAAGATGAGTCAATAACTCATCAAGAAGTAGTGTCGAGCCTATACACTGAGAAATAGCTTGAGACCATAAGATCTGAGAGGGATTCCATGTTAGTAAAACAAGTATGGACTTTTGTTTAACCACTTGAAAGGGTCAAACCTATAGGGTGTAAATGGGTTTTCAAGAAGAAAACATACATGGATGATAATGTACAAACTAACAAGGGGCAACTAATCGCTAAAGGTTTTCGACAAGTTCAGGGTGTAGACTATAATGAAACCTTCTCTCACATAGCTATGTTTAATTCCATACGGATCTTGCTTGCAATAGTTGCATTCCATGATTATTAAATCTAGCAAACGGACATCAAAATTACTTTCTTTAATGAAAAACTTGAAGAGGATGTGTATATGACACAACCAGAAAGTTTTGTCACTCCAAGAAATGTTGGAAAGGTTTGCAAGTTAAAGAGGTCTATTTATGGACTAAAGCAAGCTTCTCGACACTGAAATCTTTGTTTCAATGATGCAATCAAAGAGTTTGATTTTATCAGAAAGGAATATTAGCCTTGTGTTTATAAGAAGGCTAGTGAGAACATTTTTTATTTCCTAATCTTGTATGTAGATGGCATACTTATCATAGGAAATGACATACCTACTTTACAGTCTATTAAGACTTGGTTAAGTAGTTGCTTTTCTATGAAAGAATTGGGTGACATAACGTACATCTTAGGAGTTAAGATCTATAAAGATAGGTCTAGATGACATCTAGGTCTGAGTCAAAGTACATATATAGACAAAGTACTGAAAAGATTCAGTATGGAACAATCCAAGAAATGATTCTGGCCTAGGAGACATTGTATTTCTCTTTTCAAGGAAATGTGTCTTTCACCTCCACAAGAAAGAGAGCGTATGAGTAAGATTCCATATGCTTCAGCTATTTGGTTGTACATGTATGCCATGATATGTACTCAACCAGATGTATCATATGCTTTAAGCATGACGAGTTGGTATCAGGCAAATCCTGGGGAAAATCAATGGGTTGTAGTTAAAAATATCTTTATGTACTTAAGAAGAACTAAAGATATTTTTCTTGTCTTTGGAGGAGAAGAAGAGATGAGTGTAAAAGGTTATATTGATGCCAACTTCCAAACTAACAAGGATAACTCATGATCACAATCGGGTTTTGTATTTTGTCTTAACGGAGGTGTTGTAGCCAGACACAATAGTTAATTCTACAACAGAGGCTGAGTATATTGTAGCCAGTAAAGCAGAAAAAGCGGTTTTTTTGGATCAAGAAGTTCATATCTAAACTAGGGGTTATTCCTAGTATATCAGATGTTGTAGAACTTTGTTGTGATAATAATGAAGCCATTATACAAGCAAATGAACACATATATCATCAATGGTCCAAACATATTCTTAGGTGTTTCCATCTTATTCAAGAGATCATAGATCGAGGAGATGTGGAGATATGTAAAGTACACACTGATGACAACATTGTTGATCCCTTGACAAAGCCTCTGGCACAGCAGAAGCATGACCGTCACAATAAGTCACTCAGTATTTGATATGTGACTAATTGGTCTTAGTGCTAGTGGGAGATTATTAGAGTATGCCCAAAGAACAATCATATAATGATTGTAATGACATATTTTATTTACTGTTTTTATCAAATAAAGGCATTATTGTTGTTTTTTATTGTATTTTTGTGCATTAAATAAACAAAAAGATAATATTGTTTGTATATTGATGTGATTATTATTAAAAGATCCTTAATCAAGTATTATTATGGGCATGGATAGTAATAATATGCTTAAGACTAACATGTTATTGATTGATGACAATGAGATGTCATTGACATACAGATATCGAGATTAATACATGAATATATTGTTAGAGAACAATATATCGGATTGACCTGCTATGAGCATATGTCTTGGATTATTATGTGACGGTCACGATATTGCTCATAATGACAACTATATATATAATCCTTAGACCTAAGATCATTGCAATCTCCACATATATTGTTGAATATTTTGAAATAGTTAAATATGATCTGTAACTGGTTGAACTATAAAGACTGACATTGAACATATCATGATATATGTAGTGGTTTGAGAATGATCGAGATAAGATTTGTGCTTCCTACATAATAGGAAATATATCACAGGCCACTTGATTGAGTGAGACTATAAATGCATGGCCATGCTCGAATAAGTTGATATGAGATATCACAAATTATTTTCTTATTATAGTCTACTCTAGATATCAAGAAATAATAGATGGGTTACACAAGCATGATTATTCCAAGACTTGTGCCTATTCTAGATATAAAGGACAAAATGATATAATACATTAAAAGAATTAGTCATGGACATGTTATGATGAATCATGAATTCCCGTAACTTATGTAAGAATGACATATTACTAGATGTAACACATTTTTTGTAATATTAGAATAGTTCTAATTATTACTACTAACATTAAAGGAACCTACAGGATCACACTCAATGGTTGAAAAAAAGAGCAACTTATGAATGTGTCACGTATGTACAATTTGATTGCACATGAATAAAATATGTATTTAATATTGAATTTAATTAAAATAATGTAATTATACTCTTAATTAAATTTGAATTTAAAAACCCTAATAGTTAGGGCAACACATATATAAGGGATATGTTGGTCTAGCAGTCGTTAATCCCTTTTGAAAATTTTGAAACTCCTAGTACAGTTTTAGAGAAAGGTTTCGCTCTCAATTTTTCAGCTGGGTGAACAGAGTAAAGGCCAAGACAATTTTTCATGGAGGCTAGGATTCAAACCGTTCGTGATCATCATTAGTTGTTGCTGTCTTTTTTTTTCAAGGAAACCAATGTAAGTAATCGTATGCCTTCCTACCAATTTTGGATTTAACGTACTTGGATCGTTGGTGAAACCATCACGTTTTGTTTCTGTTGTACCATGGGGTGCGCCGACGGTCCCAACAACATCCTTCCTTTATGTGATTAGAGCATCCAAAATCTTTACTTTTATCACAAATTCTCCAACATGCCTACAAGAGTCATTTACTTTGTTTATGGTACCTAAATTACATTGGGTCCAATGTTAGTTTCAATACCTTTAGTTCTCTTAGGAACTTATACTTGTCAAATTTTGAAATGTTTTATTTTTAATTGGACAAGTATGTACACCATGACCATGATAATGGAAATGTCAGTGTTTTGTTGTGATTAAACTAGATGAATTATTTAAAATAATTTATTTCTCTTTTGTTAAGTACTAAAGCTTAATTTTTAAATCAAAATTTTCTTTTTCAAACTTTTCAATTTCATTTTTGAAATCTCTAAATTCTTTTTAAAAATTTCATTTTAATTTTCAAAATCCATTTTAGTTTTCAAAAGAAAATCATTTTCAATTTTAAATTTATAAATTATCTTATTGTATTTGGAATTAATTGTCTTAAATTTCAAAATTAATTCATCATATACATCTTGTAACTCATCAAAAAAATAGAAATTTAATTCACTTGAGTTAGAAGATCCCTCTTACTCATCAAGAGCCATTAAGCATATCATTTTTTAACTAGATATGAGGTTTGAATTTGATGGTTCATCATTGATATCCTTGCCACTAATTTAGTATTGTTGGATATCTTTCTCTTTTTTCTTGCCACCATGAAGTTCTTCAAGTTTATCTCATAACTCCTTGGAATTTGAACATGAATAAACCCTTTCATACTCTTCAGAACCAAATGCACAAAATAATATGTGAATGACCATAGTATTTTATTGAAATTTCTTTCATTTTTTATTACTCTATTCTTTCATCTTCTTTGTTGGAGAAGAATAATCATTCATGATCATCTCCCATTCTCCAAGATCAATGGATTGGACGAATAGATTCATTGAGTTCTCCAATGACCATAGTTAGCTCTATTGGAGTATGGAGGTTTGTCGATTGGTTGGGAGTCCTCCATGTAGAATGAGAAAGAAGTGGAAGCTATTTTCTCGGTTGAATAGGAAATTTATAGAGCATTTCTAGGATCTTCACAAGGATGTTAAATCATCGACTATGACCCACTCTGATACCAATTGTTAGGCTTCATCAATCAACCAAAAATCACCAAGAGGGGTGAATTGGCCTTTAAAAATATTTGGTGTGGAAGCGATAAAAAATAAGAATTAGATACAAGATTTATAGTGGTTCGACTTTCTCAGTCAAAGTCTACATCCACTACCTTAGCTCTACAGTAAGGATTTCAAAAGAAAATCACTAATTTTCTGACTGCCGGAGGTCTTCCACGGAAGTTACTCTCAACCTGGCGTTGGGGGTAGCCTACTACCCTACCTCCCCCTTACCCCATACATATGGGAATTGGGTTTTGTTGTTGTTGTTGTTGTTGTTTTTCTATGACAAAGAGTAACCTTTACAAGTTTTTTCTTAGGCTCAACGAAAACTTCTCCCCTTTTACAAAGGATGTTTGCTAAAAAAGAATACCTCACAAGGTAGGTGTTTGTAAAAATTTAAGCTCGTAAGAATAAAAACAATAGATATGCAATTAAGCTCTATACACTTATGTAGAAGATAAAAATGAAAGAAATAAGAATGAAAACTCTTTCTCTTGAACTCTAACCTTGGATAGGTGTAGTAACCTTCTTCAAGTGTCCATTTGTTGTTTTTATCGATTGGAATGTGTTTATAACCATTTATGGCCGTTGAGGATGAGTTATAGTCATTTAAAGCTTTAAAATCATGCAATTAAGGCCACCTCCACATGAAGTTTTGCAACTTTTGGAAAGTTTTGAAACTCTTAAACTCACGATAATTGGAAGTTTTTAAAATTTGATGAAAGTTTCAAAAATCTCGCTTAAAATTATATTCATTGAAGAAAATCGAGTCATTAAAAATGTTTCAGATGGTAAAGATGAAAACTTTTATCAAAAGTTATAAGTGTGTTTAAACAGTGTCATGAATAGTGTCAAATAGTGATTGAATAGTATTTTTCATATATTAAAAGCTTTGAACACTTTGAACATATTTAATTAACTCAAAAACATTTCATTTATATAAAACAATTAAAAAATATATTTTTCAAGATATTTTGGAATTTGGATTATTTTTGAAATATTTGATTAAGTTCAAAATCAATTTTGCAAATATGTGTTATATCAAAATATAATTTCAACACAATCAACCGCAAAACCTCTCTTGATCGTCGACCATCAATGATATACATCACCTTGTAGAAAAGACGACACACATCCAAGTTTCTCATCATCTGAACAACCTATATACTCTAGGATCCTAATTACACACTTGAGCCAATCCTCAACAACAGTCAGCTCGACCAATGAACACCACTAAACTCCTTGGATCGTAAAGCTTATTGACACTCTCAAGGTAAACCTCCTAACAACGGGCTCAGGTGTAGGAGCAAGAACTGTGTTAGGCACGACTTGATGGAATGCAACAATGATTGTCTCTATCAATAGATCAAAATGAGGGTTGGGGAGTGGAGCTGAGGTCCAATAGCCTCACCTCTAATCTCTATCCCATTTTCTCCGGTAGCTGGATAGTTTGTATCAGAAGGTCCCAAACAAGTACGATGCGACAACATCACCTAAACTGGTAATACACAACAATACAAATCAAAAAAATATGAGTAAGAAGAACGTTGATGATCAAAAAAACTTGCAACAATTTTAAAATTATTAAGGCAAAGTGGTTTCATTTTTACCCAATTAATAAAATCATAATTAAGTCAAAAATATCTTTGATAAAGCCAAATGATTTTAAAGTAAATCAAACAAACAAACCCTAACCATGCGACTAAGAAAAAATGGTTAAGATAAACATTCGGCATGCAACACATCATAACAGAATAACACAAGGTAAGTCTTCCAAAAAAAACATACAATCATGCATTGCAAAGGAAATTTGATTATACAACATAGGGGCAAATCAGTCACTTTGCATTCCATTATCAATTAAATGTTCAAGACATAAATTGTGTTCATCAACAATCATTAATAATACCCAATTAGACACATGCAAATTTTCAGATCAATCAAACAACTATCAATGACCTAATTAAACATTAACTTCTAGGGACCAAAATATAAATAATAAAAAAGTTAAAAACAAAAGAAAATATGTAATTGTCCTATTATCTAAGTTGTAATATTAAAGGGTGACAACAAATTTAATCAAATTTTGATTTAAGACTAAGTAATAATTAACAATTTATTTTTGAGACCATTTTAAACTCACACAAACATCCTAGAGTCAAACTAAGACTTAAAAACAATTAAGACCTTTAATGAATCAAATTTTATCGTTTTTCATCAAGCAAATAACTAAAGGATCTATCTCTTTTCATAGGGGATCAATCATTTGAATCCTAGTATAAAAAGTTAGATCAAGGGATCGATCTTTTAGGGAGATGATAGATAATTTTCCTAAAAGGATCGATCCTTTAAGCCAGGATAGATCATTTTTCTGGAAAATACAAAAAATTCACATGAACATGTAAGAACAAGACATCAAATTATCACACGATCGATCCTAAAGTCTATGAATGTGCTTTAACACACTTGAACCGGTTTAAATATGTCAAATCAAATATGTAGCGTACTTCATACCATAATTTAACATCCAAAATCAATTATTACATATAGAGTCAATTTTCAAGCAAGTCACATAACCATACTGTGGATTTTGGGTCATTTCAATCATCCTATGAACCTAACATACCATGTACACATATTGTCGTAACGTTTTTTCAAAACAAAAATGATTTTTATTTTTAGATGTAAAAATTCATATGTTTGGAAAATCGAAAAAAATTAAATAGGAGACGCCATCGACCTTTGGGTTAGGTAGATCGAGTACCTAAATCATCTTTAAAAATAATTTAAATAAATATAAAATCTTTTTTTAAAACAAATTGATCTACGTTTACCATAAATTCTTTTTTTATGGATCAGAAATTGGTTACATGTGGGGAAGGGTAAGTACCCCCATAACGACCAAAATTGATACCTAATCACTTATATATCATCATGCTAGTGGAATTAAATAATGCTAAAAATCAAGACTCATCTAAGGATTTATTTTATCGCTTATTAATTAATTCATTTAGAACTTAAAAGAATATTCTCTATTTTGAGAAAAGATCACGAGATTTGCACGTCCTCCATTGGGAAGGTTATCCCATCGATCTCTACCCTATACGAGAATATTTCTTCATTATTTATTTAGGATCATATTAAGCATGAATAAAATAAAAATTAAAGAAACATGTCAAAAATAAATCAATACATGGTTATTATTAATATAATTGTTATTTATTTTTTATTAAGACATACTCGATTATTTTTTAGTTCATTATTCCTCGAACGTCTTATTAATCATACTACCTTGATAGGTGGCACTTTTCATGCCTATTCTACGAAATTCATTCTCGAAAATTGATACATGCAAATTAATGGTCTTTATTAATTAATCTAAGGATATTTCACCATTTTAATGAATATCTAGTATATATGTCATATTAATGTTAAAACAAGCACGACAAATAGGACTAAAGAACTAAATCATAACTAAGATAGAATTATAGGGACGTATTAGCAAATAATTCAATTATTATTTCATGGTAATCAAGCTAATCAACGATCAAAATACGTACTTGACAAAACTAGGAGAACCTAAGCCATAAATAAATAATATGTTAAGGACTAAAACAAATTAAACCTAAAATGTAAGGGATCAAATCGGGTATTCAAACAAAATTTAAGGGTTAAATCATTCATTTACCCCAAAAACATATAAACATGTATAGTGACTAAAATAGAAACAAAATGAAACTCGAAAATTCCAATTAAAATAAGTACAAATTCATTTCAGTGACCAAAATAAACTATTAAAACTATGAGTGACTGCGAAATGAACTATACCAAGTGCTAAAATACACTTTCTTTCTTTCTTTTCCCAATCCTCTAATTTTCTAATTTTCCCAAATATGAAAAGGGTTTTTTCTCTCAACCCTTTCTTTCTTTTCTGTCGAGGAAGGCCAAACTCCCTCCCTGACCACCACACATCGACGTGTTCCTCCACTATGCACGGTAGCCAAAACCCAATCCATTTAACCTAAAACAAACCAATTTTTCATCTAAACCCAAAAAACTATGTCATACTAACCTAAAATGAACCTTATTCCTCTATAACTCAAAAAATAAGCCCTAAAAGTTCCACCTTTTTTCACATCTACGAACATGCAAGCCCTTACCTTTGAAAACTATGGCTTCCCTGATCCAGTGAGATGAGTTCTAAGGTAAAGTTCTCTCTTTTTCCTTTTCTCATTTTTTTATTTTTTTCGAAAGCCTTCCCTATTTTATTTTGTTCGAAGTCTTCTTATACTGAAAAAGGTTTTCCCATTTTGGTTACATGTTGAAATTTGCCTTCTGTTTTTTTTTTTTTGTGCTTTTTCTATCTTTGGTGCTCTGACCGAGGAGCATGAATCGACGGGGAAAAACTTCTAGGGAAGACGGTCGTGATTTCATCAAAGGATGGCGTAATTATTTTTCACCCAATGCCTTTTGTTGATTTCTATGATGATCGACGGATTTCTTAGTGGTGGCGACATCACCAGATGTGGTTGTAGAATCAATGAGGCAGGCGGGTGCATCTCAAACAAGAAAAGAGAGGGCACGTGTAATACCCTAAATTGTGGCTAGTAACCAAAATGTAAGTTTTGAAAGTGTGGTGGCTAAAGTATAAATTTGGAAACGTTTAAGGAAAAATGTAATTTTTAAAAGAAATATATTTTTGGCCCGTAAATGAAAAGTTTACTCTAAAATTAATGTTTTTGTGGGAATTAGAATTTTGATTCGGGATTTGTATTAAAAGCTATAAAGTAGTAAAGTTCGATAAAAATTCAGATAAGTATATTGAACCAAAATTTTGACAAATTCTGAAGGATGACAAATAAAGGTAATTTTCCCAATAAATCACCGGTGATCGGTATGTTTACCGATCTAACACCGGTCAGATTATATTTCCCGATCTAACACCCGTAGCAGTAAAGCGCGCGCCCTCCCCGCGATATACAGTGATCTGGCACCACGTGGGTATAGCGCCCCCCTAATCCACGCTATACCTGGGTATCTGACACGTGGGGTATAGCGAGGTGCAGTGGGCGCGCTATACCCCTAAATACCCAACCCTACACGTCCCCATCCTCCCTATAAATACCCCAATCCTCAATCACTTTTATCACACCAAATTCTCTCAAATTCTCTAAATTTCTCTCAAATACTCTATCTTTTTAAGGTATATTTTATAATATTTTTACTATTATGTATTTACTTTATTTAATATTTTACTAATATAATTCTTTTGCAGATATATAATGGAAGAAAGTCTACTTTGCTCGGATGGAAATCATATATCTCTATACTTGGTTTTATGACCCCGCCACCATCACAGATGACCCCTCCTGGAGGCTATTATGGGTCTATGTTTGTAGATCTGACTTGGGGTTCATATGCTGGATATTTGGTGGGTTCAGCCTCATCACCCATGGCTGCAGCACATACACCTCCTGTACAGTTTTCACACTCAGCGATGTCTTGGTTTTCCCAGTTTTCGCAGGCCGGTGGGATAGTCAGTCATACACCTCCAGGGTCCTTATTCTATGGAGGTGCTTCATCGTCATCAGCTCCTCATCAACCTAATGTACCTGCTCAGGATGACGACGACGACGAAGATGATGGTGACGACGATGATGACAGCAAGGAGTCAGAACCAGTGATACGAAGAAATCCTCCTCGAGACTGACAGCCACCGCCCTGCGGAACACATTCGCGACGCAAGCATCGATAGATTTTTTTTATTATATTTGTATTTACTTTATTTTGTTTAATTGTAATCTTTTATTATTTCTCATTTAATACTTACTTTATTTTGTTAAATTTGTTGGACTTTTTTTTAATATATTTCAGTTAATTTTGTTTATTACCATTTAATATCAGTTATTTTAATTTGGTTATCATTTACCATTTAATTCTTATTGTAAGTTTGTTATATTTAAATACCAAATTGTTATTAGTTTGATAAAATTTAATGATTGTGTTCGTTTTTTTAATCTTTATCAGCGATTATCGAATGACATTAACTTGAAGTAAATGCAAATTAAAATACAAGAATTATTATTTGATAAACAAATACATCATTTCCTCATCAATTGTTACTTGATGACAATAGAAGTGGACATGTTTTTCTAGTGTGTCCTGGGTTTCTACAATGGCCACATCTTCTGTCTTGTCTACATCTTTCTCGAATATCCATATCGCAATGAATTCGATTGGATTTTGGACGACCGCGCTCCCTCAATAAACTCGGATTTGGTACAATCGGAAGCCAATCTTGAACCTCATCAGGGTCTTTATCATTACCTATGGGGGGAAACTCAAATTCATATACCTTAAAAACTTCATATAGTAGGTATACGGGATCCACAAAATGGTTATAGTCTTGACTTGTATGCGAGCAAGCTACTATCACATGAGAGCATGGATACTTCAGAGCTTGAAAAAACCCGTAGTCGCAAGTTCTGTCCCTTAGATTTATTCTTAACGACACAGCTTCAATCCCTTTAAGAGGTCGCGGTAACTTTGTGACACGAAACATTTCATGCCTTCTAGAGAAGCTTGTTACAGACATTCCATTTGATGCAGGAATTTTTTCTGTAGATCTGCAACTAATCTAGGGTGATAGACATGACCGCCTTGCATCCAGGTTTGAGCTTATCCCCCGAGCTTCACAAAAAGCGCCCTCAAACGAAAATATGTAGTTTTTACCAAAGCCGCTACAGGTAAGTAACGGGCACCCTTTAAGGTTGAATTAATTGCCTCAGCCAAGTTGGTCGCCATGTGTCCATATCGATATCCACCATCATATGCGTTCGTCCATATTTCTTTATTGATGAGGCTGATGTAATCGTATCCTTCCTCGTACTTTGCCCGTAAATCTTGAAGCATTGATTCAAACGTTCGAGGAAGTAGTTCATAACCTGATCAAAAAATGTATAACTTACTAACTTGCTTTCTTTGCAAAATTAAAATGATCAAAAAATGTATAACTTACTAACTTGCTTTCACTTACCCATGCGCACAATTAATTGACGCTCATCATTCTTCTTGTACCTTCCATGATAGTTCGCAACAATGTGTCGGAGACAATACCTATGTTGGACAAAGGGTGGTTGCCACATTGGACCCAAAGACTCCATTGCTTCTTTGATCCCAGCTCCGCGATCTGAAATGACACAGATTTTTTCCCTCGTGATAACATGTGCACGTAAATTTCGGAGGAAAAAAGCCCAAGAATCTGTATCTTCTCCTTCGACAAGAGCAAAAGCAACTGGAAGAATGTTGTGATTGCCATCTTGGACAACTGCCTATAATAAAACTTACTTGTATTTTCCATACAAGAAAGTCCCGTCGATCTGGACCATAGGCTTGCAGTATTTGGCAGCATTAACACACTGTGGGTAACTCCAAAAAACCCGATAGAATTGGCATCGATAACGAGGAACTCGATCATTATGGTATGTATAGGAGGTTTCAAAGTCCACAATTATCCCAGGATTCAACGCCCGCACCAGCCTAAACCAACCTGGAAGTTCGTTGTAAGATGCATCCCATTCACCATGAAGTTTGACAATGGCATTTTGTTTTGCCAACCAAGCTTTTTTATAGGAGACGGTGTACCCATACTGCGATTGTATAGCTGAAATCAACACTGCAACAGCTATATGAGAGCTTGCTTTTACCATGGGCATGATGGCTTGGCATATCACTTCAGAGTCCAAGTTTGGATGATCTTGGTTGACACCTCCAGCACAACATATGTGAGGAAAGTTGTATATTGTTAGTTCCCATATGTTGTTTTTCCTCTTCATTTTCGATACGTGAACCATCCAATTGCATCCGTTTTCACGTCGGGCACAGTATCATACATATTTTTTGGTCGTCGATCGGTTGACTTTGGACTGAACAGAATTACGGATATTGTAATTTTTTATAGCCATCATCGCTTCTTCTTTGCTTGAAAACTCCATGCCTAAAGATAACTCACCATTATTTATTGATGAGTAATATCCATAGTCACCGAGATGAGGTATATCCACAAATTATGGCCCGTACATTGCACCATAATCATCTTCATACATGTGTGCAGGAGGGTCATTTTGTGCCACATTTCCTGGAACTTCATCAACATCGGAGTTGAATTGCGGTGATTCTGGGTGAATGAATAGTCCAGTCTCAGCACCATCCGCACCAGGCTCACGAAAAGGTTCTTCTGGTGGAGATGATGGTTCCTCCATGCTCTCCACATTTAGGTCGAAGAACCTACTACTTGCATGCCTTCCCCTTGAACTGGAAGGCATATCGACATTGAGATCGAAAAAGCTCGCAGTCGAATGCCTCCCCCTGGAGCTTGAAGCCATCGTTTCAAATGGAAACTGCACAGATGGTTGCGTCGATGGCATCTCCATATAGTCAAATAAATTTGCAGATGAATGCCTTCCCCTTGAACTGGACGTGGTGTTGCCATACGGATTGTTCGTGGACCCATCTCGGTACATATCGTAAGGAGTTGCAGATGAATGTCTCCCCATTATGGCATTAAAATCATTACACATTACTGTAGTCGGGATGTCAACTTGATCAATATGTTCAGCCAGCCCATAGTGTGAGCTTAAAGATTGACCCCAAACAGCACACACTTGAACAAAATATGCATACATCTCAATAGCGGCGTCTGAATAATTACTTTGAGCTTCAACCATCATTTGAACATCATCATTGTTCGAAAGTTCGAACGCTGTATAAGTTAATGGCAACAATGATGTTGGAAATTTGTACTGCAACTACGACATTCTTCTGTTACTTCCAACATGAATCTTCCTCGAAATCTTTGTTATCAGCTCCTCAAGAGCTATGTTTCTCTTGAATGATATTTTAACACGCTCATTTGATACGAAAACAACGCCGGTTTCATCTTCTCGAATTTCACCATCATAATAAACAATAGCTGAAAGGCGCGCCATTCTTTGAGTTTAAAAGTGCGGCAATATTATATCTGCAAAAAAATAACTTAAACAAACCTGATTAAATAAATTATATATAAACGAAAATATAACACAAAAATTTTTTTGCACATCAACGTAAATAATTTAAATAATATAATTTTATATTCTTACATGCACCGCAAAACTATTTCGTCGTATACTCCCGCTTTTCAATTTTACAAACATAAAAATTAATTAAAAATAATTAGTATAATATTTTTTCAAATAATGATAATAAACAATAAGTATAATTAAAAAATTATAACAAAATTACCTTATAACGAAAAATCGCACGAACTTCTAAATCAAATATAAGAAGATTGCCAGAATTATTACTCGTTGACGGAATTGTTGTATTAATTTATAAGAGATGAGAGATGCGAGGAGATGTGAGGAGAGATGCGAGAACCGGAGGTATTTATAAACATATCAGGCGCGGTACCTACACCGCGTTATATGTAATTATTATATAGCGCGGATCAGGGACCGTGTTAAATATAATTTTGGTACGGCATATAGCGCGGCCCCTGATCCGCGCTATACCCCTACGTGGCGTATAACGCGGAGCAGGGGGCGTGCTATACTCCACGTGGCACCAAATCAACATATAGCGCGGTTCAGGGGAGGCGCTTTACTGCTACGGGTGTTAGATTGAGAAATATAATATGACCGGTGTTAGATCGGTATATATACCGATCACCGGTGATTTTTGGGGAAAATCGCCACAGATAAAGGTAGCAAATATTATTCAATAATTTAGAATGATGAAATTTAACATGGATTTACGAAACTAAAGTCGATTTTCCATGTTAAACCGAAATTGTGAAATTTAGTGACTAATTGCAATTTTGGAAAATTTTATGGACCAAAGTGATACTTTTCTCAAAAATAATTTTTATTTCAAAAATAAATAGTTCATCCCTAAGATTGGATTCTCTATGGAATTTAGATTTTGATATGGAATTTGTGTAAGAAATTATTAAGCGATAAAGTTTGGTAAAATATTCGGATAACCGGATCGGCCAAAAGTTTACAAAATTTTTAAAGAAGGTATTTTGAGGTTAGAAATATTATTTTTGATATTTTTAATTTGTGGAATTTGATTTGGATCAGTGGAATTTGATGGAATTTGCATGCTAAAGTGGAATACTAAATTTAACTGACTAAATTGAAATTTTGCAAAAATATAAGGGAAATATGAAAAATCAAGAATATGATATCTTTTATGGATAATATGAACTAAGGGATGATGTCGTGGAGTGGAAAGGTTGTAGTTATCAAGTTTCATTAATGGCAAATGGTAAATTGGATTTAAATGAATTTTAAATTCATTTATAATAGGATAAAGCCATGTGTATCAAGCCATAATTGAAGGGAAAATAAAGAAATTTCAGCTTCTTCTTCCTTGTTTAGTCGTGAAATCCATAGTAGGTAAGGGAAGTCTTTTTTATTTTGATTTTATGGCTTATTCGATTTATTTTTGGGTGAAGCTATTAGATAGAGAATTAATCTACTTCAAATTCTCTATCATTTGGTATAAAAAGTTCATGAAAAGATGCTTGGATGATGAATTTCATAATTTTGTTGGATGAACAAGTTGGATGAACAAGTTGGATTTTGGTGATTTATAGCTTGATTTTCATGTTATTAGTATTGTGGATTAATTTCCAAGCCTATGTGATGAATAAAATTTACTAGAAATGAATATACAAGTTTCGACCATGGTTAGGGTTTATGGAGATTGATTAAATTTGGATTGAACTTGATGTTAGGATGATTAGAATAGCATGAATTTGATCATAGGAAGTTGAATTCATGCTTGAAATTGAATGAAAATCAAGCCCCATTGTACTAACTAGGTTCGACCATATGAAGAAAAATAAGGGGAAAATATTCAAAAAACTTTTATGGTCTATAATTGATATTAGACGAATTATACATGCTTTAGAATTTGATTTGGATTAATTTTGAACATTGTGATAATAAAAAGACCATTTTATAAGTTTTTAGAATTATAGGACATTGATGTGTAAAAGTGCAATTCTGAATGTTCAATGCTGGAAATTAATACTTGGATGATGAATTTTAAGTTTGAATATTGTTTTGGATCAAATTTTGTAAATTTGAATTTTAGGTACTAATTCAAATAAGTTAACAAGTCTGGGGTTTAATTGCAAGTTTGCAAAAGTGGAAGTACTAGATTGAATATGTTATTTCAATGCTAGAAATTTTAGTAATGGATTTGAATTGAACAAAATGGTGAATGACCATTTTGAATTAATTGGAAAAGTTAGGATGAATTCTAAAAGAATTCATAAGTTGTGGTTAAAATGTAAAGTTTGTGAAAGTTAAGTGGATTAGTGATGAAGATGGTAACATAAAGAATTTCATAATTTGTTTTGGAAATGTTGAAGTTGTATTGAATAGTAAAGTGATTTTATATTGAACAAGTATTGAATATAATTTGTGGATTTTAGTATTGGATTTGGATTATGTTAGTACAATACTAACATGTGTTTTAAATAGTGTTCGTTTATGATTTTGGCAGGACTGTGATAAATATTGTGATCAAATCGAGTTGAAAGCAAATGATCAAGTACGAGAGTAAAAGGTTCACTAATGAGGCATTACCAGGTGAGTGCGTTTTATTTATTTAGTTATTCTGATTGAGGAAGACTTGCGATAAGTCAACCTCGTATGACTTATTTTTAAATTATGGTTTAATTCTGATTATGGAATATTTCCATAATGTTTATATAAAAGTTTTATTAATAATTTTAGGACATGAATGGCCCAAAGTATTTGATATGATGTTTGTATTTTAAATTATGGATGATTTCGGGTATGAACTGCCCAGGTTATGAATTTTATATTCATGAGATGAAAATGATTATGATTTAAAATGCTTGATTAATAAGTGGATATAATATTATCTGAAAGCCCATTGTATGTTGCAGGGAGAGTCATAGGTGCACTTGGCATGCCATGAAGTTGAGTAAAGTCTGATTCTAATTCTGATAGAGTACATTCGTGTACATTTTGTATTGCATCATTGGTACAAATGATATGATTGCACTTGTAATGCATATTATGATTCTGATGATAGAACCGTAAAGTGCTCAGTGTGCAATATGTCTGACTCACATACCTTGCATTCTCTTAAAATATATATTGGGCTATGAAGATGAAATGTAAAAGTTCTAAAATGTGATTGAATGGAAAAGAATATGAAATGATTATTGTGACTAATATTGATTACCAAGATTTTTATAAAATCATGGGATAATGATTTTTGGCATGATGTGCCTTTTATGTGATAAAGTGTTTATATATGTGATATGAGTCGAAAGAAAACTATTGTTTACTCAGTATTCGGATTTGGCCCTATATGCTTATACATGTGCCAAAGAATGAATTTTCATCTTCAATTTCACTAAAGGAAAAAGGTTTGAATTATCAGTTTTATATATTTTATACGATGGTAGTAGCACTAAGGTTATTTATGATCTTTTCATAATTTAAAATGTCTTACCTTAGTTTATATACCTCAATAAGAGGAAACTTCATGTGTGATTGTTTGGCGTCATTTTAGAAGACCGTATTATCTCTCTAGTATCAGTATGTTATTTTCTAATGTTTTTACTTTTCTTGTTGGCATGAATATTGTATGAGTATTATGCTGCTCTGATATGATAGTTATAAATTGGACCATAAACTTTCAAATATACAAACTAAAAATGGACACTACTAAGTATAATAAATAGTAGTCTACTAAGTTATGTTTTAAATGTTATCAGTAAGTACACATATTTTAAGAAGTTTTAAACATTATATGAAACAGTATTGAATGGCTACATTATAGCCTTAAATCAAGTTAGAAATGAATGATAAAATATTTATTTTTTATTTTTAATCAATTAATTTTTTTAGTGATTAAAGTAAATTTGATATTTTTGAAAGAAATAAAATTTTATGACTTTTCAAGTATGAAACATTATAAAAGGTTAGTGTGACATCTTTAACTCGTATTTGAGTACGTATATGGGTTAAGGGTGTTACATTTATTGGTGTCAGAGCTACAGGTTTATCCATTTCTTTGCCTAAACCGAATTTATTTTATGTTGTAAAGTGTGTACATGCCACTAGGATGTCAAAATTATTGATCTGGTGTGACCATGTATATGATTTGATTAATACCCTCCTTACTAATGTATTATGAAATGTGTTTATATTACATTTCAGAAATGGAAGAAATCGTCTTAATTGATAGATTAGGGTGTTTCCTGATGAAACTGATAGTAAAAGTACTGAGTTTAATAATAAATTTCCTATTCAACTTGATTATAGTGACGAGTCGAAAGGGCAAAAAGTGTTAGTGTTGGTATTTGTATTGAAAATTGATAAGAAGAAGGTTGATTATGAGTGAAATAAGTGGAAAAGGATATTAACACATCATTCAAGAAAATGGGCTAATGCCATAAGAGATTCTCCTCTATCTTACATAATAAATGTCCTACTTCTTATCGATAAGGAATGTGTTAAAGATACTATTATAGAAAAATATATTCCTATGTCTTAAGACTATGAATAAGATTTCAAGATCCTTATAGATTTTTTTATCTTTTGAAAAAATTGAATTGCTTTGATTGACTTTAATTCTACTCACTCGTGTATAAGTATTAAGTGATAAAAGAAGAGATATTTCTATGGAGCGGACTTCTAGTGATGTGATGTAGTGATGATTAATTCTCTAGACTGAAGTGAGACGATTAATCGAGAATATAGAAATTGCATGTTAAAGATACAAGAAATTGAGTTTTGGTAAACTTAATATAGTTAAAGTAGAAGTATTTCTTTGTATCATATCTATTTTTTTATGTTGTATTAAATATGTCCAACCAAGTTTGAAGAATTAAATATTTTGTTATAAGAATTATAAGATTGTAATTTTCCTAAATCAAGTGTGTCACTCTAGGGTACATAAGCCCTATTTGTGAAAAATAAGTATGGACCTATGTGATTACGCATAGATTATACTCAGCTGACCAAAGTGATGGTGAGAAATAAATGTCTTCTTCCAAATATTGATTACCTCTTTGATTAATTAAAGGATGGATCGATATTTTCTAAGATTGATCTTTGATTTGGTTATAAGTAGTTAATTATTAAAAAAGATTCTAATGACAAGGTAAGATCATAACAAGCGTGTTGTACTTCAGATTCTTTGGTATAAAAGGATATAGGTTAAATGATCAAAGTGTGAATTCTGATTAATTGAAGTTGTTTCTCTTAGTCATGTGATTTTTGTAGAAGAGATAAAAGTTGATCTTGATAAAGTACATGCTATAATGGAGTGGAAAATTTCTAAGAATGTCTCTTAAATTTGAAATTTCTTGAGAATTGTAAGATATTATCAAAAGTTCATGAAAAAATTCTCGATGATTTCCTCCCCTTTGATAAAGTATTAGGAGAAAAGATGTGTCGTACTAAGGATTTATAAGTTCCAAGAAAGTTAAAGAAGCAGAATAGTAAAATCTGCCAAGAATTTTATGATATTGAAGGAATCTTTGGAAAATTGCCAAAAAATTCTATAGAAGGTACTAGAAAGTGATTCATATATCGTTCGAGTTATAAGTCAATCTAGTTTTTTTTTTAAACAGAAGCTGAGTCTGAACTGTATGCTAGAAGATATCAATTTTTAATTGGAGATATGTCAGAAAGAGGGGCAACAAATTCTGTTGAAAATAGATTTTCTAATATGGATTAGAAAATTCTCCATAAATTGTATAAGTTGAAATAGAAATAGTTCCATATATGATTAGATTCGTATTCAAGTCTAGTTTCTGGTGGTATAAACGAATTTTTTTTTTTTTGAGTGTATGGATTAATACTGAATATTACTTCTTTTCGGGTAATGTGGATTGCCCGAGTAATGAAATTGTGATAAATCATACAATCTTATAGCGACACATTTAATGATGGTTTGGGGTGCGTATTAATTCAAGAAGTAGTGGTGACTTATGTTTCGAGGAAGCATACGACTCATAAAGGAAATTATCCAATTTATGAGATGGAGTTAATAGTTGTTGTGCTACTTTAAAGATATAGTGTCTTTATACTAATGATGAGAGATAATACAACTACATTGTTAACAAAGAAATGAAAGTTTGAAGTATTTATCAAACTGACAGAAGTAGAACTTGAAGTAAAGGAGATAGATCAAACTTCTTAACGATTATAAGTTAGTTATCAATTATTATTTGGTAAAGGATAAAGTACAAGCTTACGTGTACGTCAGAAGACTTTTTTTGCATTGAAAATTTTGATAATACTTGATTATCAAAAGAAGAAGATGTTGTATAAGTTAAACAATTAAGGTTAAACCCTACTCTGTTAGATTAAATAAACGATATTCAAAGAAAATATAAGAAATTTTTATTAAGGAATGAACAAGAAGACAAAGGTGAAGCTAAAGACTTTAAAGTTAAGTTGAGGGGATGTTTTTACTATAAAGGTAAAGTATATAAAAAATCACAAGGAATTGAAGAAAGAATTTCTCTATGAGGTGCATTGTAGTCTTTTAATTATGTACCCTAAAGGAACTAAGATGTATATGGATTTAAAGAGTCTGTGTTGGTGGTCAAGCATAATAAGAGTTATAACTCAGTTTGTTTCTAAAGTTCTGATATGACAAGTTAAAGTAATGTATCAGTTGTTCTTAGGATTATGGCAATCGATTTCTATTCCTTAAAGGAAATAAAAGAAAATTGGGATGCGTATTGCTACAAGATTTTCTGAATACCCAACAAGAGAAGTTCATTCTAAGTGATTATGGATAAGTATGATAAATGGTATAAAAATTAAGTTATTCAATCACACGAAGTATTTATCTCAATAATAACTTATAAAGATCCAAAGTTTACTTAGAGAATTTGGAAGTCTTTGTATTAAGTATGGGAATTCAACTGAGTTTCAGTGTTGTTTTCCATACTTAGATAGAAAGTAGTCAGAGTGGACTATTTAGTATTTAGAAGATATGATAAGGGCATGAGTGCGATTGAACTCAAAGGATTATAGAAAATTATTTGTCTTTAGTTGAATTTCCCTATAATAACAATTATCAAGCAAGTGTTAAGATGAGTTGTTACGAAAACTTATAAAGAAGAAAATGTTGAATATCATTGAATTAGTTCAAGCTTAAGGATCAAATCATAGTTGGCCATGATTGATTAAAGAGCTAGAATATAAAGTAAATATTATTTAAGATCATTTTAAGATAGTTATTGATTGACAGATGCCTTATTCAAATGTGAAAAGGAAAAGCAATCAATTACCAAGTTGGTGATAAAAGGTTTCTCAAAGTATTATTTTTGGAAAAGATATTACAAGTTGGTCAAATGGAAACTAAGCTTTAGAATTATTAACTCAAAGAAGATACAAATAGATTTGATAAATGGAGAAAAATAGTAAAGATATTAGCACATAAAGTCAAAAGACAAAGGAACAAGATGAACTCGTTTGTAAAAGTTTTATTTTCCTTAGTAAAGCATAAGATCGAGGAAGTTTGGAAAAGAGAAGAGAATATAAGAATGTAGTTTCCTTATTGTTCTACTCTGATATGTGTTTAAAATTTGAGGATGACATTTCTTTAAGGGGGAAAATTGTAATACCCCAAATTTTAGATAGTGACCAAAATGTATGTTCTAAAAGTATGGTGGCTAAAGTATAAATTTTTGAAAACTTTAGGGACCAAAATTGTAATTTTCAAAAGCTATATATTTTGACCCGTAAATGAATAGTTTACTTCAAAATTAACGGAATCAAAATTGTGATTCGGGATTTGTATTAAAACTTATAAAGCAGTAAACTCTGATAAGAATTCGGATAATTAGATCAAATCAGAATTTTGAGAAATTCTTAAGGATGATAGAGAAAGGTAGAAAATATTATTTCAACAATTTA